GGTTCCCCCCCCCCCCCCCTGCCATGATTGATACAGTGTGCCATATCTAGAGGGCACAAAGTTTTTAGGAACTGATTTAATTTAGCAGTGAGAAAGAGTCACTATAACACTAACAATGACAAAGAGCAAACTGCAAATGAACAGTGCCAGGTTCAGATTTTACTTTCATTGCACTCTTCTTATGCAAACCAGACTCTCTCAGCTTTAACTCCAGATCTGCATTAGAATCATTAATAGTGATCCAACTTAAAAGCTTTTGTAAGAACTACCAACACTGTGCTGTGAAATCATGGCTCTTGCTAGATTTGATCCAGGTGCTTCCCCGATTTTATTCTGGGCCATATCAATACTCTATGCTCTAAGACTAGTATGTGCATAACTGGTAGACAAAGAAATTGAAGGCCCATCATACACGTCCATCAGAAGCCCCAGTTATATAATGGGGTCATGACATCATTGTGCAGATGGCATGAATTGTGTTACTTTTTGCTTTTAACTGTTAGTAGGCTTCAGTGTAGTGGTACACACAGTGTTTCAAATTTGAAACCACTCTTTACCTCTTTCTAAAACTCTTCCAACCATACCAAATGTATAAATACAAAATGGTATAAATACAAAACATGCATGCATACCAGAAGGGTTCCAAGCTCAAAACATTTTGAGCTCAGGATGCTTTCACTATGGCTGAAGCAGCTCTGGAATATTTCCTGTAACATTAGAACAACCTGTTTTGAATTTGAAACACTTTGCACAGCCCTACTTGAGTACCCTATAGGAGAATGATAATAAAAAGAGGAACAGTTTGTTTCAATTGTTCCCCTTTAATTGAAATTTTCCCTTCCCCTCTCTTCTTCTGTTTTCCAAGGAAACTCTGATACTAATTCAGCCAATATTTCTTGGGATGATCATTGGGTATTTTGAAAAGATTGGTTCTACGGGTGCTGACAAAGATGATTTGGCCTATGCCTATGCCTCTGCTGCAGCCTTATCTGTGTGCACTTTGATTCTGGCCATCACTCATCACCTGTATTTCTATCATGTACAACGTGCTGGCATGAAGCTGAGGGTAGCCATGTGCCATATGATTTATCACAAGGTAGGTAATAGATTTTCTTTATCTCAGTAAACAGGACACTTAACATAGGTGAGTGCTTGTCTTGCATTGTGAGTGAAGCAAACAGATGTTTTTAGAATCATTAGCTTAGCAAGGCGATGAAGTATGTGGCTGTGAAAAGAACGTTAGGATTACATCAAAATGGGTCTTCTGTGCCTTATCGCAATTCAAATCTGGGTGAGCCAGCTAGGGGCTGAAATCTCAAGAAAAAGCAGCAGGCTAGAAAGATATTGGCTGCTGCTATGAACTGTTAGTTCTTCCAAGACTGTTAATGCAAAGATTTACCATACTGGTGAAAAATTTGAGGGAATGAAGGAGGGTAGGTGGACTTCTTTCTAACACTGTTGTCCAATTTTAGGCTTCTTTGTACTTTAATTTTTATCCTATTCAATGATTTTCTTGAAATTCTTCAAGTTATGCTAAACTAATTATCTTGCATTTGCAGTAAGGAAGGGTGTGGTACAATTCAGTCATCATGCAATTAACTTCAGTATACGTACCTCTCTCTCTGTTCTGTGTTACCAATCCTGGGGCAATTTTAAAGCTTTCAGTATTTGCACATGGGGGTGAGGGGGCTTGCCTATAGAATTCTCTTCTGTGGAAATTGGTTCCCTCAGTTCTGCATAAAAAAACATCAACATTATGTGTCTGGAAGGGAATATTTTACCTAGATCTACTTTTATTTATTTATTCACTTTAAAAGTATCTCATATCTTAAGATAGCTGTTCTGTACTATTGGAATGTTAAATTTTGTAGTGGAACTGCTAGATTTCATGGTGCCTTATAAACTGCTTTGTAGCTTGTAATTTAAGTGGATATATATTTACCTGGTGCAGGAGGGCTTGATTTACAGTAACTCACACCTTCATTACCACCCAGTTATACTACTGTAATACATGCTAAATGGGGTTGCCTTTGAAAGCTACATGGAAAGTACAGTTGGTCCAGAACACAGTGACTGGTGTGCTCATTGGCACATAATACTCATTGGATCACATCAGTGCTCTGGAATACTCTCCTGGTGGGGATCAGGCTAACTCCCTCCTTGTTGGTTTTCAGGAAGATGTTAAAAATGGAACTACTGTATTTACTATTTACTGTAACTGAGTTCAGGCATTTCTTCATCTTTTACTCTTTTTTTATTCTCTTTTATTTTGGGGTATTTTGCTACGGTTGTATCTTCTGGCTTGAGGTTTTATGATTGCAATTTTATTACTATTTTTAATTATACTGTGAAAGTGTTAATATTTTTCTATATTGTATAATTGTAAGCCACTAAGAGTTGTTGGAATCTGGCAGGATATAAATGCAAAATGCAAAGGAATATTTAAAATACAGGTGTAAGTATTGTGTGATTAAAATAAAAAAGAACATTGGCTGGTGTGGGTTTTCCGGGCTGTGTGGCCGTGTTCTGGAAGTTTTGTTTCCTAACGTTTCGCCCGCACCTGTGACCAGCCTCTTTAG